ATCTCCTGTATAGACTTTACTGTACAATGTTAGATCTAGTAACATCTTACAGTGAGTGAACAATATATATTTAAAAAAAATATTCATTAATGTTTGTGAATGTTATTTAATACAAACACTTGATCATTCATGTTTGTTCATTGTGCATTAAATAATTTTAACAGATTGAACTTTGAAATTAACCCTAAGAAGAATAATTGCCATATCACTATTGTTTATTGTTAGGTCATGTTATCTAACAAATAAAATCTTATTGTAAATTGTTGTATTGTCTTATTGTATTGTTTTTAATACTACAGTTTGCGTCTATTTGATATACAGTTAATATATGTAATCTTATCTAAATTTATTATAAAAGCTGAGGTTTGTTATTTACTGAAAAGTTATATTTTAGCTGGTGTCAATGATCTTATGTTGCATTTGGTCAGACTCAGCCCATTGCTTTACTTAAGTATATTATATTTTCCTTTTACAACTGCAGACTGAGGAAGATCCTGAAACACACCAACAAACCCTAAAACAGACAACAGTTTACAGATATTTTTCAGTGGCAGCAGAACTATGACTAAACTTTTGGGTGAAACTTGTTTACTTTTTTCATACTTTTATTACTTGTGGGAAAACTTGAAACACTTTTAAATAAGTATAAAGAATGGCATTGGTTTTGTACATTTAATTTTTGTTTAACATTATTAATAAAAATGTTTTTCAATTAGCATGTTTTTGTGTTTTGCTTTGGTACCGAAATTGGTACCGAGAACCATGGATTTTCACTGGTATCGGTACCGAATACTGAAATTTTGGTACTGTGACAATACTACTTGCATTGAACATTAATTTAAAAATACAAACTAGATTTTTACATTTCCTAAACAAAACATGAGTGGCACTACTATGGGGATGAGTGATAAAAATAGTTGTCTTTACCAGCATCTCTTTTCTTCTTGAGTACCTGCTCTACATGAGGAAAGAGTCTCTGCAGCATCTCCATGGCGTTATTGAGGGCAGAGCTCAGCAGGGGTTCAATAACAGGCGTGAGTGCTTTAGCTGGAGAGGCCACTGCCCTCCGTGAAGCTGGAACTATCTTCCTTATGGCCGAGAGGAAGTCCCGGCCACTCACGCTGATGGACTCCACATCCAGCAGGAGCTTCTGGGAGGAAGCATATATCTGGGGGTAGCATCTACGCAAGGCACACAGAGCTGCTTCTGAACATACAGCTTTGATGTCTGCGCCACAATAACCTGGAAGCACAGGGAGAGTTTTGACTATTGGTATACAATCAGGGATGATTGTGCAGTTTATTCTGGATAAGAACTGCCCACTTGGACAGGATGAGACAGTCGGAGAGCTCTGTAAATGCCAGAATTGAGAGTGCTAGAGAGTGGGAATACTAGAACAGCAGAATGTTACATAACACTGCTACTTAAAACCCAAATACAGCATGTTCTAGAGGTGTGTTGGAAAGCACCAGCCTCTGTGTTGGCACTGAGAAAACTGAGACAAAGGTAAGCTGTTATGCGAGATGCACTCATCAGGTCGTTTCACATAGTGGAACCGGAAAAGCTCTTACCAACACACTTGTCAGCCAACTCTTCAAGAAACACATCAGACAGCTGCGGGTCCCACTGCCTAGTATGAATCTTCAAAATATCTTTGCGAGCCTACAAATCAGCAACAATGTCTTGTAGGTTATTTTATAACAAAAAAAAAACCTGCAGTCGCAAATAAACACTGGCTAAGGCAGCCAACAACAGAGCTCCAAACTCCTACCTCTCTGTCTGGTAGGTTGAAGAGAAACTCTCTGTCAAATCGTCCGGGCCGTCTGAGCGCAGGATCGATGGAGTCCAGACGGTTAGTGGCTCCAATAACAACCACCTCACCCCGGCTGTCTAGCCCATCCATGAGAGCCAACAGAGTGGACACGATGGAGCTTCAGACAACATAAACAAACAGTTTCATATCAAGATGGCAAGAAAAGATTAAAAAAAAACAAAAAAACAATGCAGAAACACAGACTAACACACCTGTGTATCTGGTCTTGCCGGCTGGACCGAACAGGTGCAATACCATCAATTTCATCAAAGAAAATAATTGATGGACGCATCTGGTATGCCTTTAAAAATAAAATATTTAGACAAAATTAGGCATTCATGAATGACCATTTTTAAATGAAATTTAAATTAAGTTACGTTTAAATGTGGGCAACCTGGTCAAACAGGAGGCGGAGCTGTCTCTCAGACTCGCCCACCCATTTGCTGAGGCAGTCTGCTCCTTTTCTCATGAAGAATGCCACCTTCCTCTCATCTTGACTGCACTCATTTGCCAGGGCTCGAGCTACCAAAGTCTTTCCTGTGCCAGGAGGGCCGTAGAACAGACAGCCTCTGGAAACACATAGCATTCAATCAACATACATTCTGCAAAAGGTGATATTTAGCATTACCTCTCATTTTTGAAAACCACTGATCAGTCATCCAAATAGGCATTTTAATGTAATATTTATCAGTATCGCTTTGCATACCTTGGAGGCTGAATCTTAAACTTCTCGAAGACCTCAGGGTAGAGTAAAGGAAACACAACCATCTCCTTCAATGCAGAGATGTGTTTGCCCAAACCTCCAATGCTGTCAAAGCGCACCTGCACATGGAAACCAAACAGTCAAACATAGGTCTGTACATTTTTTGAATTTCAATTCAAATGGCAAATACATACTGTTTGGTCAATTTGCATTGGATCAACATCTGCAAGACTTGCTCCAATTTTAATCCTGTCCTTGTGGATTCCCAACAAATCCTCCTTCCGTAAATTCATAGGGAGGCATCTACAAGGGAAATGTGTTAAGTTTTTTTTTTTAAACTTTTGTTTAATAATTGCTTTCAAATGTGAAAAGTTAAAAAATTTACAGAAGATGATGTCTAAGAAACTATTCTTGTAAGAGCTACAACAGATATAGATTCTCTATCGCATGCACAAAACCAAGTACAGTTGTTATATTTCAGAGCTATATGATTGGTCATGTTTGCTCTGCAAGTCTTTGCGCTCAGGTGTCTTTGAAAGCATAGCATCGCTAAAATAAAAAGTTCTCACTAAAAGCTTTTACCTGTTTATTGACCTGCTATGACTCTTACTTCTCCTCCTCTCAAATTTCTCTTCATCAGAAGAAGAGGATGAGGTGGAGTCACTACTGTGGATGGCATGTCTTCTCCTGAGATAAGAAAGACAAAAGCACAACAACAAAAAAATCATTTATAGCATCAATAAAAAGTATAAACTTTCATAAAATATGCCGCCACCACCTTTATCCCAACAAATCAAAACACATGCCCAAAACATTTGTGTAGTAATTATGTTATCGTGACATATCATAGATTGTTTTTTTTTAACAGTCCCACTTTGGAAGTCCTTCAATCATCCACATGCAGATGTGCTAAAGAAAGGCTTGGTCTTACCCATCAACCTCATTTCTGCTACAACTACAGCAC